GGTGCCTGTAGTCCCAGCTACTCGGGAGGCTGAGGCAGAAGAATCACTTGCACCTGGGAGGCAGAGGTTGCAGTGAGGCGAGATCATGCCACTGCATTCCAGCCTGGGTGGCAGAGCGAGACTCTGAATGAATGAATGAATGAATGAATGAATGAATGAATGAATGAATGAAGGCTGTCAGCCTAAATAAAAATGCAAGACCTAACTATGTGCTAACTGTAAGAAAAGCATTGCAAATATATACACAGATTGACCGAAAGTAAAAGGATGGGAAAAAATGCACTATACAAATATTATGGTAAGAAAGCTACGACAGTTATATTTTTGTTAAAGTAGCCTAGGGGATGGCAAATAATATCAAGATAAAGTGGGATCAGTCATTATAAAAGACTGAATTTACTGAGAAGACATAACAATCCTAAATAGCATGTACCTAAAAACAGAACTTCAAAATATACAAGGCAAAACTGGTAGAACCAAATCTTTGTCTTTTCAAAGACACAAAACATTCACCACAATAGACTGTATGCCTTACCACAAATCCTAAATTCTGAAATGCTGAAAAAGACTGAAATCCTATAGAGTATGTTCTCTAACCATATGGAATTAAATTAGTAACAATAAAATATCTACAGGAAATTAAACATCACACTTTTATAATCCATAAGCCAAAAAAGACATTAAAAGAGAAACTAGAAAATATTCAAACTGAATGGTAGTACACAATATGTCATTTTGTGAGCTGCAATTAAAGCACTACTCAAAGGAAAACTCAGATATTCACAGTATAAACAAAAAGACAAGCCTACATTTACCTCCCTCATTATTTAATTTGAAGTGTTTCATAGACCTAAATGTCAAACAAAGCTATAAACTTCCAGAATAAAATTTAAGAAAATATTAGTGACCTTAGGTTTAGAGACAATTCCTTAGACAGGCTATAAAGATCATTAACTCAAAAAGAAAAAAAAAGACTACATAAAAATTACGTTTTTGCTCTCTGAAAAACACTGTTAAGAATGATAAGGCAAGCCACAAACTACAAGAACATATTTGCAAAACATGTAATTTTCAAAACCTGTTATAAAGGACTCATATTCAGAAACATAAAGAACTCACAATTTAACAATAAATAACCTAATATTTTTAATGAGCAAAAGATTTGAACAGACACTTCACCAAAGATATATAAACGACAAATAAGCACATGAAAAGATAATCATCATTAATCGTCTGGAAATTACAAACTAAAACCATGATGATGTATCACTACAGACCCACTAGAATGATTTAAGTTAGTAAGACTGACAATAACAAACATCAACAAGGATTTGGAGCCCTGGAATTCTCATGCATTGCCAGTAGGAACGCAAAATAGGAAGTTTCTTTAAAAACTATAAACAGACTTACTCTACAATCCTGCAATTTCTACTCCTGAATTTTTAACCAAGAGAAATGAAAATATATATCCATACAAAGATCTATGTTGCAAATATTCAGAAGAGCTTTATTCATAATAGCCGAAAACTGGGCCGGCACAGTGGCTCACGCCTGTAATCCCAGCACTTTGGGAGGCACGAGAGGGCGGGTCAAGAGATCAAGACCATCCTGACTAACACAGTGAAACCCCATCTCTACTAAAAATACAAAAAAATTAGCCAGACATGGTGGCATGAACCTGTAGTCCCAGCTACTCAGGCGGATGAGGCAGCAAAATCACTTGAACCTCGGAGGCGGAGGTTGCAATTAGCCAAAATCATGCCACTGCACTCCAGCATGGGCGATAGAGTGAGACTCTATCTCAAAAAAAAGCCAAAAACTAGAAACAACCCCAATATCCATTAACTAGTCAATAAAGGAATTGTGGAATATCCATTCAATGGACTATACTACTTAGCAATTAAATGAAATAACTACTACTTTTAACAACATTGATAAACCTCAAAATATTATGCTAAAATGAAAGAGAAGAAGCACAAAATAGTACATCCTGTATGATTTCATTTATATTACATCCTAGAAAAAGGGCAAATTTTGTGTAAATAATACCTCTCTAAGGCTGATTTTTTTAATCACGTGGCAGCAAAAAAATCAAAGGTATACATATGTGCTCTGGGTAAGACAAGTATTTTTCCTAAATCTTAAGTTATAGTAGAGCTCTGAGAAGTTAATGACTTGCCCCAAATTAGTAACTAGTAGAAACATGTTTTGGGATATAGATCACTTTACTGTAAATATAAACTTGGAATGTAAGCTTTAGGGATGACCAAGAAGATCTGTGTAACTAAGACCCTTTGTTTTCTTTCTTTTTCCTTTTTTTTTTTTTTTTTTTTTGAGACAGGGGTCTTGCTTTTACCCAGGATAGAGTACAGTGGTACAATCATGGGTCACTGTTGCCTTGATGTCCTGGGCTCAAGCAATTCTCCCACCTCAGCTTCCTGAGTAGCTGGAACTACAGATGAGCACAACCACAGCTGGATAATTTTTTTTTTTTTTTTTTTTTTGGTAGAGACAGGGGTCTCACTATGTTGCCCAGGCTGATCTCAAACTCCAAGCTTCAAGCAATTCTCTCGCCTCAGCCTCCCAGAATGATGAGATTACAGGTATGAGCCACTGTGCCTGGCCAATTAAGACCCTTTCGATGGAGCTCCAGGAACTATGTTTAACTCACAGTTAAGTATTTAAGGAAGTTTCAATTTACATAGGCAAGCCAGCTAAAACAGTTTAGGCCAAATGTTGGATGATGTAGCATAGACATCACAAATACTTAGCTGACCACAATCTTGGCCAATGGTCAAGTTTATTTTGGGACTGAAATATTTAAAAGTCCTTCATATTCTCTTGCAGCTCCTACACATTAATCCTATTAAACAAAGACTTCCAATTCTGAAACTTTTTGGTACTCACCTTTCATTCTCACCTAATGCATTACCTCCAAGTAATTCAGGTGGTAAAGAACCCGATTTTCAAAGGCAACATAATGATAACAGCTTTTTAAAAGGCAAGACAAGGCAAGGCCGGGCTTGGTGGCTCATGCCTGCAATCCTAGCACTTTGGGAGGCTGACTTAGGAGGATCCCTTGAGCCCAGGAGTTCTAGACCAGCCTGGGCAATGTAGCAAGACCCTGTCTCTACTAAAAATTTAAAAATTAGCCTGGCACAGTGGCACACATGTATAATCCCAGCTACTTGGGAGGATGAAGCAGAAGGATCCTTTGAGCCCAGGAGTTTGAGACGGCAGTGAGCTATGATCATGCCACTAACACTCCAGCATGGGTGACAAAGCAAGACCTCGTTATTCATTTCTTCATTCATTCATAAACATAAACAAAAAAAAGACAAGAAAACTGCTCTTAATACCTAATTAACCATATCAATTTTAACCTTAGCATAAAGAACACAAATTAAGACTTTTTGTCATCTCTACCATCAATTCATTTTGCACAAGTGGGCAATCCATGGAACCTAAAGCAATTACTACAAGGTCACTAATGCTTACTACACAGACCTCACCTCTTCATTTCCTCTTGTCTGTCTTTCCACCCAGTGTTTCTCCCCCTTTCTGACCATTTTATAGGTTATTATAGATACTCTGTAAGAAAACAGTAAAGAGGATATGTATGCCTAATCTGTGACAGTACTGACTTTATATCTTTGCTATTGTAATTATTATGGTGATAAGCTCTTTAAGGAAAACTTCTACACTGTGTAAGTGTAAATAATGGGAAAGGAATACTGATTCATTCTATATCCATTATAAACACTTTTCCCTCTAAGCCATTGATAAATGGAAGACACGTTACTATTTTCACTCTACTGATTCTGAATATTATCTCATATACAAACCAAGTGTACCTATGTATATTAATATTTACCCTGAGATTAAAGTCCAAAGTATTTTTAAATACTTTGCCCATTGGAGAAATAGTCAGACTAACGTTAAATATACTGGTCAAAATTCTCAGTTGTAAGTAAAAAAAAAAAAAAAAATCCCAAATCAAGCTAATTTAAACAAAATTTAAAAAAAAAAACAAAAAACTTTTTTTTTGAGACAGTCTCACTGTCACCCAGGCTAGAGTACAGTAGTGTGATCATGACTCACTATAAGCTTCACCTTCCAGCCTCAAGGGACCCTCCCATGTCAGCATCCCAAGTATCTGGGACTACGGGTGTGTGCTTCCACATCTGGCTAATTTTTTATTTTTTGTACAGACAAGTCTCCCTATGTTACCTACACTGGTCTCCTACTTCTGGGCTCAAGCAATCCTCCTTGCCTCAGCCTCCCAAAGTGCTGTGATTACAGGTGTGAGCCACCACACCCAGCCCAAATATCAGAATTTGTTGGCTCACAGGATAATCAGATGGTGCATAGAAACAAAGAAAAAAACTTCAAGACCAGGGCCTCAAAGGCTCAGTGCTATAGGATCCATCTCTACCTCATGCTCCTCTTTACTTGTTTGGCCTCATTCTGGCTTCATTCTCTTCCACTGCAGGCAGACCTCCTGCCTGGGGTGGGGCAGACAGTCTCAGCTTCACAAGTCCAGAAGAAAATTTGCTCCCGTCATTTGTATACCAATACCTATGACAAATGCCTACTGTCGAATTACCAATCTGTAGTGCCAATCAGTACTATAGGACAAGGGGGATAGTTACAAAATTCCCTAGGCCTGGTACACATGTTCAACCCTTAAGCTGCCAGAAAATGGATATCCTACCGAGGGATCTAATAAACTAAAAGTAATGATTTGCCACTATCTACAAGTTAATTTATTTTATTTAATGAATAAAATGCCAGAATCTCAAAAACAAGAAATCCACAGAATGCTCTATTCCTTTTACAAGTATAATTAAGTGTTGAAAGTAGATCCCTAATGTCCAAAAAAATATGATTGAAGGATACAACTTAGGAATTATCAATAATCCAACAAAATGTAAAAATTAAGAAAATCTAACCCCTGACACTGAACCACTAACTTACAATTACAGAAAATCCTGTCACACATGCTCTGGTTTCTCTTCATAACAAATCTTTTTGCCTTTCATTAAAGATTTCCATGGAGAGTTAACAGTTGTGAATTGGTGACCAAATTTTTTGAGGCCTTCTTAGGCCTCAAATTTTTTGAGGCCTTTCTTTATAAGAAAGAAAAAAAAAAGTCTTGGATGGGCACGGTGGCTCATGCCTGTAATCCCAGCACTTTGAGAAGCCATGGTGAAACCCTGTCTCTATTAAAAATACAAAAAATTAGCTGGGTGTGGTGGCACGTGCCTATAATCCCAGCTACTTGGGAGGCAAGAGAATTGCTTGAACCCAGGAGGCAGAGGTTGCAATGAGCCAAGATCACGCCACTGCATTCCAGCCTGGTAACAGAGCGAGAGAGATTCCATCTCAAAAAAAAAAAGTCTTAACAGGGGAAAAAAAAGTTAATTAAATGGGCTTATAGATACGACAGTTTAGCAAGAAAGAGAGCAATCTCATTCCAAAAATTTAATTGTTGGGGAGAGATAGCATGGGGAGAAATGCCAGATATAGGTGAAGAGGAGGAAGGCAGCAAATCACACTGCCACATGTGTACCTATGCAACAATCTTGCATGTTCTTCACATGTACCCCGAAACCTAAAATGCAATAAAAAAATATAATAAGGGCAATAAATAAATAAATAAAAATTTACTCAATAACAGCACAAATCTGAAACCAAAGTGTGAGACTCCTACTGTTGGTTATTGCATAGACACCACAGTAATGGCTAAAATTCATATGGCACTCACAGAGCTAACTATCCTTGAAAAAAATACTTCTTTTCTCAAGAGGTTTAAGTGGAAAGGAATATGAAATTTCTTAACCTATGTATGTTCTAAATTACTTTGTTTCAGGAATAATAATTCTGAAACAACTGTTAAATAAAAACCAGCAACCCCCAAAACTGCTGATCCATCACTTAGTCTAACTGATCAGTTTGCTACCAACTACAGTGTTTACCTTTACAGTAACACTTGTAGTCCCATAGAAGCTGTTTTGTTCTACATAACTGCACTAGATTCGGATGTACATTCAGAATTTAATTTAAACGATGACCTACATTCAGTGGTGTGTGGGTACCTATAAAACACAGAAAAGGGCCTACTTTCTACTAACTTCTTTTAAGCTCAATCTGAGGCAAAATGATACTCTGTTTTTAACAAGTAACAAATTTATGTTTATAATAAAGAATTACATACAGGGTGATATGTATTATTCCTTAATACAAAGTTCTGTGACATGCTTAGAGGTACTGTTTATTAAAAATTTATAAAGAAGCCGGGCGCGGTGGCTCAAGCCTGTAATCCCAGCACTTTGGGAGGCCGAGGCGGGTGGATCACGAGGTCAAGAGATCGAGACCATCCTGGTCAACATGGTGAAACCCCGTCTCTACTAAAAATACAAAAACATTAGCTGGGCATGGTGGCGCGTGCCTGTAATCCCAGCTACTCAGGAGGCTGAGGCAGGAGAATTGCCTGAACCCAGGAGGCGGAGGTTGTGGTGAGCCGAGATCGCGCCATTGCACGCCAGGGTAACAAAAGAGAAACACACTCCCTCAAAAAAAAAAAAAAAAAGAAAAAAAAATTTATAAAGATGAAGAGATACAAATAATGGAGTGGAGAAGTCCAGGTCCTTGCTTATAATTTTAACAGCCAACACGTATAGCGTACTCTAAGTGCTTCACCATTTATTAGTCATTAATCTTACAACAATTCTACAAAGTAGGTAATATTATTATCCTCATTTTAAAAAGAGGGAAACTAAAGAGCAGAGAGATAAGGTAACTTGCCCAAGTCATAAAGCTAGCTAGTAAATAATTTACAGATGCAAGTTTAAACCATATAAGAAATTAAGTAAGAACAACACATACATAGCAAATACAAAAACAAGAGAAAACTCAACGTACTCAATCTCAAAAAGGCAGAAAAGCAATATAAATTAAGAAACTAATTTTTTTTTTCTCTCAGTACTATGAAACCAGGTCTATATCCTTGGAGGTGGGCGAGTAGGGTAGATAATCTGTGTTCTCAAATTATACAAAAATCTCAAAAAAAGTAACATATTTCTTGTGGGCTGGGCTCAGTAAGCCCAGGAGTTTTAGAGCAGCCTGGGCAATACAGCAATACCCAGTCTCTACAAGAAATAAAAAATCAGCTGAGCATGGTGGAGGCTAAATTGGGAAGATGGCTTAAGCCTGGGAAGAATGTGGGAGCTTAGAAGGCTGAAGCTGCAGTTAAGCCATGACTGTGCCAATGCACTCCAGCCTGGGCAACAAGGTAAGAACTTGTCTCAAAAAAAGAAAATTAACATATTTCTTAAATAAATAAAAGTACTCTTAACTTTTCGGAAGCATACTCTGGAGAAAACGTGTATTAAATGAATGATAGCACTTTGGAAACTAACTTTTCATTCCTAAATGTGCTTTAAAGAATACAGCAAATGGCTAAAAGCAATCCTCCATAAAGTTATCATGTTTAGTACTTTTTACTGAGAAATACAAAGTTCTACAATAATCAAAATGAGTCAATCTATCACAGTGGTATATATAGTCACTTAGCCTTATCTCTGGAAAATATTTTCAGATTATGTAGATGTTTTATCTCTCAGATAACCTTCAACATGAAAAAGGCATTTTCCTGCTATTTCTGCAAGGGCCAATAATTAAAGTAATTTGTGGTACTGATTAAAGAAGATTAATTTGCCACCTAGAACAACTTATAGCTATGAAATTCAATTTAGAAACAGAGCTGCAATCACTCTAATCCACCAAAACAATCAAGAGTTACTCTCTCTTTCAGAGTACTGAAGCAAGTCTACTTTCATTCTATTTTTACTCCTAAAGTGTACAATGCTAGTAGGCAAAAGGTCTGTTCCTCAAAACTGAACTGATTCTGGTCTTGCTTTGGTATCTTCTGGTCTGTTCTAGTAGGAAGCAGTAGCTACAGTGTCTGACATGAACATGATACTTGTGCTTACTATGTATATTCCCTTAGCTCTAGAAAACTGATATGGCATTGAGCTTCTTGAGTTACCCCTTAAGTCACTCATTATAAGGCTATTTCTCATCCAGGTCTGTAGAAGGAAAGCTCCCACCATGGTTACTCCCATTCTGAATCCTCAACTTGTTCCCACCCCCAAGTTTTACAAGTTTGTTAGGGGAAAAAAAAAAAAAAAAAATCTTACTTGCATCCGACTATGGAAGTTCTTCCTACCTATATACCATTACTCCTAGGAGGTACAAGCAAGATCTCTTCTTGATTTCTTGGCTGCCTTTTACTGATGTAATCATAGCATGAAGCTTTGAAATGTGAGATCCTGAGACCGGTCGCTCCTTTCAAAGTGTCTATCATTACTCCTTAGTGAGTCAGTTTCTGGACTGCTGCCAGTGTGCTCTTTGTTGGCTTTATCATGAAACCATATTCCTGTAGAGCTGGAATGGTGACCAAAACACTGCATTTCAAAAGACTCCTTCAAAATGTGTATCAAAAAAGATACAGATACATAATCCAAGCAATCCACTCACTAGTTTCAGTAAGAGAGGGAATGAATAATACAAAGGAAGTTAAGTAGCTATCATGTTAAAAGATTCTCTTATATGCAAGTATCCAAAAATATCCTGTAAAATCACCTGATAATTTTCTTTAAGTAGATTTTATGCAAATGAGTACTTTTAAAATTTTTTATGCCCTTGAGGAAAGAAAACTCAACTTTTCTGTCTCAGATAAGAACTCTGAAATAAAAGCTTGAGACACTCGAGGATTCTGTGAAGGTCCATCAACTATCACTGAAGGGGAAAAACATCTACTCTTTAGTAAGTACCTTTAGTAAAGAGTTTTAGAGAAATCCATCAATAAAAAATTTTATAATTTTTAGGGGTTGTTTTTTTGTGACCAAGTCTCACTCTGTAAAGCCAGGCTGGAGTGCAGTGGCGCGATCTCGGCTCACTACAACCTCCACTTCCTGGATTTAAGCAATTCTCCTGCCTCACTCAGCTTCCCAAGTACTGGGATTACAGGCGCATGCCACCATGCCCTGCTAGTTTTTGTGTTTTTAGTAGAGATGAGGTTTCACCACGTTGGCCGGGCTGGTCTCGAACTCCTGGCCTCAAGTGATCCACCCACCTCTGTCTCCCAAAGTGCTGAGAATACAGGTATAAGCCACTATACCGGCCAAATTTTTGATTTTTATAAGGTGAAACAACATTGAAAATGGAGAAAGAGGGAGTGGATGTAGGGCAACTCAAGCTCCTAGCACTGAATACAGTAATGGAGAGTAATAATGCTTTCAGGGTATAAAAAGTGAAACAGGCCAGGCATGGTAGCTAACACCTGTAATCCCAGCACTTCAGGAGGCTGAGGCAGACGGATCAGTTGAGGTCAGGAGTTCAAGACCAGCCTGGTCAATGTGGTGAAACCCCATCTCTACCAAAAATACCAAAGTTAGCTAGGCATGGTGGCAGGCACCTGTAATCCCAGCTACTAGGGAGGCTGAGGCAGGAGAATCACTTGAACCTGGGAGGCAGAGGTTGCAGTGAGCCAAAACTGCATCACTGTACTCCAGCCTGGGCAACAAAGAGAGACTCTGTCTCAAAATAAAATATAATAAATAAAAGTGAGACAAATATATTCATGCATGGTACTGGTCTCTAGAAGACACAGTTTTTCCCATAAACTTTAAAAATAAATTTGGCACAGTGGTACGCAATCGCACCAAGTCCCAACTACCTGCGAGGCTGAGATGGGAGGCCTGCTTGATCCAAGGAGTTAATGGCCAGCCTAGAAAACACAGTGAGAACCCCATCTCAAAAACAAAACAAAAAAATGTCTTCCTGAGCAAATGCTCTGAATGAATCTAGACCTTTAGACACTCAGAACTTGCTTGACATTTATCAGTAAAAGGATATGTAATGACTTTGAAAAAAAGCTAACATATAACAGCTAACATATAACAGGTTAACAGGTTTACGAAACTTGTCATAATTTAAAATATGCTTTTGCAAGTGTTTAGTGAACAAATTTAAAATATGCACCAAAACCCCGAAAATTGTTTTAATATCCAAAAAGAAGCTGTAAAAATACAATAAAAGATTCAGT